CCCCAAAACCCCAAAACCCCAAAACCCCAGCTGTTAATTTTCTTAAAATATCAAGAATAGTTAGAAATTAATTCAAAATCATATTTTTAGGGAAATATCTAATTATTTTTGTATTTTTACAAAGTCTATTTATATGGTCCTATTGACCAGCTATTCATTTAATCAAAGTTTTTGTCAATGCTAGAATATTAATCTCACTCAAATGCTTTAGATTTAAGGTTTCCCTTGATTTCAAGGAAAGTTTTCTTTTATTATTTAGCAGTATTTATCTAAATTCTTTCATTTAGTTATTTTTCAACATTGATACTTAATTCGCAAATATCAGAAATTGAGGGAAAACTTTTTTAAATTTCTGGCTTTTTTAGTATGTTTTTTATTTATAATACTTTGATAGTTGAAAAATTTTCATCTCTTAAATTAATTGATGAATTATTTACCTAATTTATTTTGGGAGCTTTTATATTATTTTTAATTTATACTGTTTATGGCTTTGTTTTTCTGCTGCAGGAAACTACTTTGCTTATATTCTCATTTATTAAGTGTGGGGTATAGCCTGGAAATAAATTACTTAATCTCTTTGAAAGTTTAATTTTACTAGATTCTCTAGAATTTCTACTTTTCATTTACTATTTTCTCACTTGAATGTTGTTTGATTATTGATCATGAGTTAAAGTCTCAAATTTATTTCCATTTATATGATTATATATTTTTATTTTCTATAATGTTTTTTTCTCCATAAACCATTCATGCTAAAAATCGGAGTTAACACTTATTATTTTATTCTTACCTTTAAGCAATCAGCTGTAGATGGTCTGGAAGAGGGGAAATGTGACAGCATTTTTCTAAGCAGGTCATAGCATGATTATGCTATTTTATCTTTAATTTTTAGAAGTAAAGGTTCTGCTCTTATATATTAATTGCTAAGCAAAATTTCATCTATCGATTCTCCTTCAAAAATTTATTTTCTAGTCAAGAGATTATAGAATATACATCCCACACTGAAAATATCACTCTTGAAAGAAGCTCATCCAGCATTTAGTATCTCAGGGGCTATATATCCTGGTGTTCCACATCTTTCATCTAATCTATTAATGCTGCCAGTTTTGCACGCTAATCCAAAATCTATTATATTAATTTTGAGTAATTTAGAGTCTTCCATAATTATATTCTCTGGCTTAAGATCTCTGTGTATTATTTATTTTTCGTGTATATGTCCTAAACCCTCTAGAATCTGATGCATTATAATCTTGATTTAGAATTCTTTTAACGAACCTTTCTTATTCAAATATTCAAGCAGGCTTCCTTCTTTGAAGTATTAGAAGACCAAATTACACTAGTTTTCAGAGTTAAATATTTTAATTAATTTTGAGATGAAGGGCTTGCTTTTAAGACATCTTAAATATTTAATTTCCCTCATTACAATTTTGTTTACTTTTTAACTTGATATATCATAAGTCTTGACAGCGTAGAATTGCATCAAATTCTAAATTCCCCTGTAATATTTAGATCTGGTTGAATATAGATCAACTTAGGATAGCTTACCAGCGTATAATTATTTTTTTAAGTTAAGCATTTACTTCAATGGTGGAAACTTAATAGAAGACTATTAATCAAGTTTTTCTTGGAATGTTAGTAGATCCTCTGAGCAGTAGAAAGTTATTCTTAGAATATGATCTTAATGATTGATTACTAAGTCATGTTTTTATTTTGCATCTTCATTTTCTGCTACTCTGATTTCAACTTGGGAACAATTAGTGTCAAGCCATAAAATTTCATCGAGGCCTCTTATTATTATTCCATTATTATAGTAAGTTAAACCACAAACTGAACCTATTGGACTGCTCATTTTCACTATTTCTTGATTTTGTATATACTAAATCTTGACCTTTCTAAAACTAAAATACTCCAGCAGAGACAACTCCTTGTCATTAATATTAAATGGGAAGGGTATATTTTAATCAGACTCGTCTTGAAGTACACTCATATCGATGATTTGTTAAATTAATAAAATTATCAAAAATCTCAAATTAATTTACCAAACACCCCTTTCGAAATTGGTTGATTAAAAAAAAGTATTATTAAAGAATCACTATTAGATAATTAATTCAGCCCTATGAATTAGATTTAAAAATCTTTATATTCTCTTACTAAATAATCTTCACTCAAATCTTGATGGGGTTTTGGGGTTTTGGGGTTTTGGGG